TCAATGGGCTGTCTAGGAGAATGGCCATAAACAATCTCAAAAGAGGATAAACCAGTCAACCTGTTGACGGAGTTATTATAGGCAAATTCAGCAGTAGGCAACAACAAATCCCAATTTCTCATCTTTTCACCCACTAGACACCTAAGCAAATCTCCTAAACTACGATTGACTACCTCAGTTTGACCATCAGTTTGGGAATGAAAAGCAGAGGAAAACTTAAGACTAGTTCCAAAGAGTTTCCAAAGTGTCTTCCAAAAATAACTCACAAACTTGACATCCCTATCAAACACAATGAAAATAGGCAACCCATGTAGTCGAACGATCTCTCTAAAAAATAACTTTGCTACATGTGAGGCATCAATAAACTTGGTGCAAGGAATGAAATGGGCCATTTTAGAAAACCTATCTACGACAACTAGAATAGAATCATGATTACGGGTTGTTTTAGGCAATCCTAAGACAAAGTCTATACTAAGGTCTCTCCATGGTGTGTACAACCCTGTGTTTTGTTTCCTAGCCTTTGCTAACTGACAAGTGTGACACTGTGACACTAATAATGTCACGCCTCAAAGTGGGCTAATAAAACTTATCTTCAACAAGTGCAAATGTCTTATCCCTACCAAAGTGGCCTGCCAAACCTCCCACATGTAATTCCAAAATCAGGAAATCCCTAAGTGAAGTACAAGGAATACATAAGCGCGACCCTCTACACAAGTAACCATCTCTAAGGAGGAAGTCAATGTAATCATGACAGTTACCAGACTGAACCTCCTGAAAAATAATACCAAAGTCAGGACAAGAAGCATACTCATCTCTAATCCTGTCAAAACCAATCAAATGGACACTCATAGTCTGTAAAACAGTAACTACACGGCTAATAGCATCCGCAGGATTGTTTTCAATGCCCGCTCGGTGGTGAAGAACAAAAGTATACTCTTGAAAGAAACTCAACCCACCAAACGTGTCTAACACTCAATTTTCTCTGAGAATGAAGGTATTTTAATGCCTGATGATCAGAATATAACACAAGCTCAGATGGCAATAGATAATACCTCCAATGGCGAAGAGCTTGTACCACAGCGTAAAACTCTTTGTCATATGTAGAGTATCGTTGTTTAGCTTCATTGAGTTTTTCGCTGAAGTAAGTAATAGGATGACCCTCTTGACTCAAAACTCCATCTATCCCTACACCAGATGCATCACAGGCAACCTCAAACACCTTAAAAAAATCTGGGTGTCGAAGAACAGGTGACTCTGTCATCCTGTGCTTAATTTCTTGAAAGGCTCTAGTTACAGCAAGTGTCCATTGAAACTCCCCTTTTTTCATGCACTCTGTGATGGGAGCCATAATGGAACTAAACCCTTTAATAAATCGTCTATAGAAAGTGGCCAAACCATGAAAACTTCGAACCTCAGAAATTGTTCTTGGCACTGGCCAATCCCTAATAGCACGAATTTTCTCTGGGTCAGCTGCAATACCATGCGCAGAAATAACAAATCCAAGGAAAAGCACTTGAGTTTGCATAAAGGAGCATTTCTTAAGATTCGCATAGAATTTTTCCACACGTAATGTCTGCAAAATCTGTCGAACATGATCCAAATGCTCTTCTTTAGACTTACTATAGATCAANATTTCTTAAGATTCGCATAGAATTTTTCCACACGTAATGTCTGCAAAATCTGTCGAACATGATCCAAATGCTCTTCTTTAGACTTACTATAGATCAAGATGTCATCAAAGTAAACAACCACAAATTTTCCTAGGAAATGACGCAGTATCGGAGTCATAACCCTCATAAATGTGCTAGGTGCATTAGACAATCCAAAAGGCATGACCAACCACTCATAAAGTCCATCCTGGGTTTTAAATGCGGTTTTCCATTCATCTCCTTGTCTAATTCGGATTTGATGATAACCACTACGCAAATCAATTTTGGAGAACCAAAGTGCATCGGCCAAAAAGTCAAGCATATCTTCAAATCTCGGTATAGGAAATCGATACTTGACTGTAATTTTGTTAATGGCACGGCTATCAACACACATTCTCCAAGAGCCATCTTTCTTAGGGGTCAACATAGCAAGGACAGCACATGAACTAAGACTATGACGAACAGACCCTTTTTGCAACAGTCCATCTACTTACCTTTGGAGTTCAGCACGCTCAATGGGATTCATACGATAATGGGGAAGATTAGGCAACTGAGATCCTGGAACTAAGTCAATAACATGCTGAACATCTCTCATTGGTAGCAACTCATAGGGTAGTTCCTCAGGAATCACATCATGGAACTTTCTCAATAGACTATCAACCTCAGGCAAAAGATTGTCTTTAGATTCCAGAGGACTTTGAACAACTTTGACAACTAGAGCTACCATTATACCAAACTCTTTTCTCTCTTTCTCAAATTCTTTATGGGTCAAGATGTGAAGATCTTTCTTGTGAATTACTAAGGAAGATGACCTATGCTTTGAAGTATTACTTTCTGAGAGTTTCGCAGGTTTTAACTTAATGGTTTTCCCCTTATGCTTAAAAACATAGGTATTTTCTCTCCCATAGTTTGTCACATCTAGATCAAAAAGCCACGGGCGATCCAACAAGACATGAGCGACATCCGTAGGTAAGACATCACACCATATATGATCTGAATAGTCACCCATATGAATAGGGACCAAACATCTATGTGAGACTGGTAAGGAGATCTTGTCAACCCATGCGACTTTGTAAGGTTGTGGGTGTCTCTAACTTAAGCTGCAACTAAACTACAGCTGATTTAGAGATGACATTCAATGAACTTCCCCCATCAATGACGACCTTGCAAACTTGACCCCCAAATCGGACTAGAGTATGAAAAATGCGGGTGCGTTTCCATGCTGCTGTCTGAAGGGGTGGATAAGATACATCGCATCACACTGACATGGGTATCATCGGTTTACCACTCTTCCTCACCCTCATCTAGTAACTCTAAGGGTTCCTCATCCAAAGGATCAACTTCTAGGTCAACATCCTCTCTGTCAAGTGAATTCTCTAATCCCTGGTCAATAGTCAAGGTACGCTGAGGGCACTGTGAAGCAATATGACCTGTATTCAGCTCCCCTGAGCTACTTGCAGAATGGGTAGGACGCCTTGACATGAGTCCGTAGGATCTATCGGGAGAGGCAAGTGCCGAACATTGGGTACTTGGTTAGACTTAGGTGAAACTTATGACTCACTCTGGTCATAGTCTATTGGTTGTTTTTCCATAAACTTAGTTAATTGGGCTAATTGAGTAGTAACTTGAGAAAGTTGTTGCCCCATTCCTTTAACTTCCTCACATAACAAGTCGACTGATTGTTTAGTATCGGTCATATCAATGGTGAGGGTCTCAAATTTTTGTTCTAATGCAGTATGGGATTCTGAAAGCTCACAAAGGGTCATAGTGAATGTAATGTAAAATTTGGGCTAATGTAAATGACCGACTAGACTAAAAATTAAACCAAGTAATAAAAATTATAAATCAATGCAAATGGTCACACATAAGAACAAACTTATTGTAAAGAGGCTCAAATAAACGTGAGACAAGCAACAATGAATTTAACAAAAAATTGGGTAAGCTAAGTTATGAAGGTGGTGTGTGGGAACAACAAACAAAAAAGGTTATGAAGGTAGTATGCGGGAACAACAAACAAAGAAAGTTTAGATTTTTTTTTTTTGTTTGACTTACCAACAAATATAAATACTAGTCACCAATTCTCAATGAAAAGAACTCGTATCTGGTGTTAGATGCAACTCCAAGAGAATAATTGACAAGTTAGGGGATGATCCTACAAAGTGTAGAATTTTCTGGGGTGTTTCTACAATTTTTGAAACTTCTGGGGTGATATTTCTGTAATTTTCTGAACCTGTTGGGACGTTTCTGCAATACTGGAATTTCTGGATGATACTTCTGCAATTTACTAGAACTTCTGGGTGATTCTGTAACTTTCAAGAACTTCTAAGGAGGTTCCTGTAATTCTGGAGCTTTATGGGGGTGAAAGGGTTAAAACCAATGTCTTCTTCCTTAACACGATAGAACGAGGAAGAAGATGGGCAGCGATGAAGTTGAAGCAGCAATGGGCAGCGATGAAGTTGAAGCAGCATAGGTCAACGACGAAAACAGGCGCAATGAATAGTAACAACGATGAACAGTGCACAATTTTTTTTAATTTTTTTTATTTTTTATAGAACAAGACCAAAACAGTGCGCACAATGAAATTTTTTTTTTTTCTAGAACAAGAACGATGAACAGTAAGAATCTGCCAAATTTTTATTTTTTTTACCTGGACAGTCGATGAACAGTGATTTCGCGCGAACAGTTTTTTTTTTTTTATGAACGGCGTTGTTGAGATTTTTTGTGATTTATACGAATCGAAATTAGGCTTTGATACCAAATTGATGTAGATCGTATTAGGGAAAAATTAGGGATAAAAAGGGAAAAAAAAATATGAGAAAAGAAGAAGAAGGAGATGAGAATAGAGAGAATTTTAGAAAGAAGATTCAATATTAATAATCAATAATCAAAGTCTACCAAAATAAATAACATATCTCCTATATATATATATATATAGGGAGACCACAAATCCTAAAAAAACTCTAAAAGAAATAAATAGTCATAATGACAACTAAACCCCTAAAAAACATAATGACAAATAACTCTTAATCCTTACGTCTACGCCTATTATAACGAAATATAATCCGATTACAATCAGCAGGTCTTATCTATGATTAATTAATCTATGGCAAAAACAATCAACACTATTGGATGTTCAATCATATTTGTGTAACACGAAAACCAAGAATAGGGGTGTAAGAGTTGTCTATCACTCATTTTAAATTTGCACCTTAAGCCACCAAAAGGATTCCCTTTTCATCAAATTCACCATTCCTTTAGAGCTTTAAGCTACTTTCTTTCCAAAAACTTGGTCCCAAAGTAATAAAAAAAAATTCACCAAATTTCAAAAGGATATTTTTTTTTTCTGTTTGCCTACAAACAACTCTTGATATTCAATAGGACAACAAAGATCCTTGTGCACCAACAAAATAAAGCACTAACAGTAACCTGATAAAAAAAAATAAGTGATGCAAGCATTAACCTATAAGCCACTTGTGGTTCATAATTTTTGGGAAAATATGGGAAAAAGATAGATATTTCCTGTCCTAATTGTACCGTGTATCAACACAATAACCTTGAGAATAAAGATTGGAAGGCAAGAAAGAAGTAAACAAGAAAAAATAACAAGAATGAAGATATAGTGGAGAAAACAAAGAGTTAATAACAAAAATGAAAAAATAGTAAAGTAGTGTTTACCACATTGTCACTTCCTCTTAATCTCCCCAAAGGAGAATCTTTCTGAAGCTCTTGAATACCAACTTCACACCTACATAGTAAAAATAGGGCCAAAATCATCAAGTGTAAGTAATCAAATGGTTGTTTTGTAGACCATGCACAGAGAAGATCCAATCTTTATCGATTGGATTACTTTCTCTTCTAATAAAACTAATTATAAAGCTTTAACAAAATCATTGGCCCCGACATATGTCAAAGCAAGCTTAAGGGCATTCTGTCCAGAAATATCGTTTTACACCTTATACTAACAATAAGGTCACACAATCACAGTTAAGCTATAATGTAGCTATAGCTTTACACCAAGCACCTCTGTTCTACACATTTTCATATCAATGTCGTAAAAACCCCATGGATTCCCACCCTTTGACCACAGTCCGTTGATAATCCCTATCTGGCAACCAAAAGTCCAACTCCCACTGACAATTGTACCATAAGCGGAAGACAATCTCCTCCCCTAATCTTTTCTTCCTCTTCAATGTTTTGCCCAATATCTTATGATGGCAATGTTGTTGATGATTCACCCCCCACCCCCCTCTCACCCCAAAAAAAAAAAAAAAAAAAAAAAAGGAAGTTGTTACACTCAGCGTCTCACTCAACCCTGCATAGAATTTCACCATTGGTGTACCATATTGGAACTTCAGTTACACCATCTCCTTATTTCATTTCATTCCTCAATGATACTCAGTAATATGGAAAGGAAGTATAGTTTCACAATTTTAAAATCCAAACAAAAAGCTACAGAAATACTTTTGAAACAGTGACTAAAGGTTAGTTCTAAAACATAAATGAAATATTAACAATAACCAATTGTCCAAAGGTGCTCTAATGTTTAATGGACCATTTTTTGCCAAAGACTTGAGTTAATCAAACTTATCTCACTTCAAAACAAACATTTTAAATCTGCTATCAGCAAAGCTTCTATTTTTGTTGTAGTCTTTTTGGTGGTGTTGGGGGGTAATTTTGACAACTTAATATATTTCTCTTACATGTCATTGTTGAATTAAAGAGTTGCCAAATGCATTCCATACCAACACGCTAACCCAAAAAAAAGACCTGAAAATCACTTTTAAAATATGAGCATATCTTTACCATATTTGTGAATTAGTTGGTAACAAGCAACACTCACGATGTCATGCAAATCATTTCAAACTTTTCAAGTCAATGAACAATTTGTTCAAAAATAGAAGTCTATGAACTAGAAGAATACCTTGAGTCCTCAATAACACAGACATAACGCAGAACATTTCCATTTGAAGAAGCCTTTTCAACCATCTGTTGGATGTCCTTATCAATCGACGGGAGGCCATTCAACAAAAAGTCTTCCACAGACATAAAATTAGGTCCCATTTCAACAGGGTACAAGCTTTCAATCTACAAGATCGGTTTAACAATTGGAATCTGTTAACCTGGTTATCTGATTTAATATCGAGATAATACAAAATAACTGACACATGCACCAACCTTAATGCTGTCCAAGTTAATACGGCGTCCAAGAAGTCGAGCAAGGATCAGAGCCTGTTTCCAAATATTGATAACAACTAGTAACATATCCACAATCAATATTACTTATAAATATTGCTTTGAAAACCACAATCATGTAACTTCTAAAATATCTGACAGATCTAGACATCTTTACTTTCAGTGTTAAGTCAATCTATATCCCTGAACAGAAAAAATTCCATCACAAGATTTAGTGTGACCATTTTACAATCAGTCCAATCTATTTTAAGTTAGTTTTGGGTGTTGCGGACTGTACGCCAAACATTAATCATCGTTAAACAAGAGTAAAACCTTAAAAATTAGGTAGGCCATAACTCATAAAGTTTCCAAGACTAATTAAAATTTTACACCAGTTAGACAGGACCAAGTAATGAGACCTTATTTGCTGGGTCTACCACTAAACCCATAATCATAGTATCCCTTGATAGGCCAGAATGACAACAAAGTGAATAATTGTTCTCATTCCTGCACACTTGTAACCATATGAACTCTTACAATTCTCAGCATACCATCATCAAAATAAGAAAATGTTATAATAAATGATCAACGCCATAAATGAAAAGTCAGCATTAAAATAATTCTTCTGCAGAAATGAATATACAAAATCTTATGACACAGAAAAAATGGCTGCGCTGAAGAAATTTCAGAATAATCAGAGATAAACCATGTCTGAACCTTTCTTGCCACATCCATCCCACTGAGATCATCCCGAGGATCTGATATGAAATAAAAACTTTCAAGTAAGTCTCCATAATCTNTTTTTACCTGGACAGTCGATGAACAGTGATTTCGCGCGAACAGTTTTTTTTTTTTTATGAACGGCGTTGTTGAGATTTTTTGTGATTTATACGAATCGAAATTAGGCTTTGATACCAAATTGATGTAGATCGTATTAGGGAAAAATTAGGGATAAAAAGGGAAAAAAAAATATGAGAAAAGAAGAAGAAGGAGATGAGAATAGAGAGAATTTTAGAAAGAAGATTCAATATTAATAATCAATAATCAAAGTCTACCAAAATAAATAACATATCTCCTATATATATATATATATAGGGAGACCACAAATCCTAAAAAAACTCTAAAAGAAATAAATAGTCATAATGACAACTAAACCCCTAAAAAACATAATGACAAATAACTCTTAATCCTTACGTCTACGCCTATTATAACGAAATATAATCCGATTACAATCAGCAGGTCTTATCTATGATTAATTAATCTATGGCAAAAACAATCAACACTATTGGATGTTCAATCATATTTGTGTAACACGAAAACCAGGAATAGGGGTGTAAGAGTTGTCTATCACTCATTTTAAATTTGCACCTTAAGCCACCAAAAGGATTCCCTTTTCATCAAATTCACCAATCCTTTAGAGCTTTAAGTTACTTTCTTTCCAAAAACTTGGTCCCAAAGTAATAAAAAAAAATTCACCAAATTTCAAAAGGATATTTTTTTTTTTCTGTTTGCCTACAAACAACTCTTGATATTCAATAGGACAACAAAGATCCTTGTGCACCAACAAAATAAAGCACTAACAGTAACCTGATAAAAAAAAATAAGTGATGCAAGCATTAACCTATAAGCCACTTGTGGTTCATAATTTTTGGGAAAATATGGGAAAAAGATAGATATTTCCTGTCCTAATTGTACCGTGTATCAACACAATAACCTTGAGAATAAAGATTGGAAGGCAAGAAAGAAGTAAACAAGAAAAAATAACAAGAATGAAGATATAGTGGAGAAAATAAAGAGTTAATAACAAAAATGAAAAAATAGTAAAGTAGTGTTTACCACATTGTCACTTCCTCTTAATCTTCCCAAAGGAGAATCTTTCTGAAGCTCTTGAATACCAACTTCACACCTACATAGTAAAAATAGGGCCAAAATCATCTAGTGTAAGTAATCAAATGGTTGTTTTGTAGACCATGCACAGAGAAGATCCAATCTTTATCGATTGGATTACTTTCTCTTCTAATAAAACTAATTATAAAGCTTTAACAAAATCATTGGCCCCGACATATGTCAAAGCAAGCTTAAGGGCGTTCTGTCCAGAAATATCGTTTTACACCTTATACTAACAATAAGGTCACACAATCACAGTCAAGCTATAATGTAGCTATAGCTTTACACCAAGCACCTCTGTTCTACACATTTTCATATCAATGTCGTAAAAACCCCATGGATTCCCACCCTTTGACCACAGTCCGTTGATAATCCCAATCTGGCAACCAAAAGTCCAACTCCCACTGACAATTGTACCATAAGCGGAAGACAATCTCCTCCCCTAATCTTTTCTTCCTCTTCAATGTTTTGCCCAATATCTTATGATGGCAATGTTGTTGATGATTCACCCCCCACCCCCCTCTCACCCCAAAAAAGACAAAAAAAAAAAAAAAAGGAAGTTGTTACACTCAGCGTCTCACTCAACCCTGCATAGAATTTCACCATTGGTGTACCATATTGGAACTTCAGTTACACCATCTCCTTATTTCATTTCATTCCTCAATGATACTCAGTAATATGGAAAGGAAGTATAGTTTCACAATTTTAAAATCCAAACAAAAAGCTACAGAAATACTTTTGAAACAGTGACTAAAGGTCAGTTCTAAAACATAAATGAAATATTAACAATAACCAATTGTCCAAAGGTGCTCTAATGTTTAATGGAACTTTTTTTTGCCAAAGACTTGAGTTAATCAAACTTATCTCACTTCAAAACAAACATTTTAAAGAGTTGGGGGGTAATTTTGACAACTTAATATATTTCTCTTACATGTCATTGTTGAATTAAAGAGTTGCCAAATGCATTCCATACCAACACGCTAACCCAAAAAAAAGACCTGAAAATCACTTTTAAAATATGAGCATATCTTTACCATATTTGTGAATTAGTTGGTAACAAGCAACACTCACGATGTCATGCAAATCATTTCAAACTTTTCAAGTCAATGAACAATTTGTTCAAAAATAGAAGTCTATGAACTAGAAGAATACCTTGAGTCCTCAATAACACAGACATAACGCAGAACATTTCCATTTGAAGAAGCCTTTTCAACCATCTGTTGGATGTCCTTATCAATCGACGGGAGGCCATTCAACAAAAAGTCTTCCACAGACATAAAATTAGGTCCCATTTCAACAGGGTACAAGCTTTCAATCTACAAGATCGGTTTAACAATTGGAATCTGTTAACCTGGTTATCTGATTTAATATCGAGATAATACAAAATAACTGACACATGCACCAACCTTAATGCTGTCCAAGTTAATACGGCGTCCAAGAAGTCGAGCAAGGATCAGAGCCTGTTTCCAAATATTGATAACAACTAGTAACATATCCACAATCAATATTACTTATAAATATTGCTTTGAAAACCACAATCATGTAACTTCTAAAATATCTGACAGATCTAGACATCTTTACTTTCAGTGTTAAGTCAATCTATATCCCTGAACAGAAAAAATTCCATCACAAGATTTAGTGTGACCATTTTACAATCAGTCCAATCTATTTTAAGTTAGTTTTGGGTGTTGCGGACTGTACGCCAAACATTAATCATCGTTAAACAAGAGTAAAACCTTAAAAATTAGGTAGGCCATAACTCATAAAGTTTCCAAGACTAATTAAAATTTTACACCAGTTAGACAGGACCAAGTAATGAGACCTTATTTGCTGGGTCTACCACTAAACCCATAATCATAGTATCCCTTGATAGGCCAGAATGACAACAAAGTGAATAATTGTTCTCATTCCTGCACACTTGTAACCATATGAACTCTTACAATTCTCAGCATACCATCATCAAAATAAGAAAATGTTATAATAAATGATCAACGCCATAAATGAAAAGTCAGCATTAAAATAATTCTTCTGCAGAAATGAATATACAAAATCTTATGACACAGAAAAAATGGCTGCGCTGAAGAAATTTCAGAATAATCAGAGATAAACCATGTCTGAACCTTTCTTGCCACATCCATCCCACTGAGATCATCCCGAGGATCTGATATGAAATAAAAACTTTCAAGTAAGTCTCCATAATCTCATTAATGCTTACAAAATAAAAAAGTCAAACATATCAACCCAGTGGCCCAAGTCATGATTTGATGCTCTTAAACTCAAGGCAAGTCCAAATGCTTGTACGCCAACAAGCAAGAATAGAGGACAAATAATAACCGAACCCTATAATAGTGTGAATCATCCTAACATAGCATTTCGCTAGCCAAGTTTGTTTATCTGATCATGCATGTGATGTATTGAACCAGTGTTGTTATGACTTATCTAACCTGGTTCAGTGTAGCCAAGGCTTTTAGCAGATTTAACAACTTGGCTGAACGGCTTTCCATCTTCTACCTCACTCATTACGTATCCCAATGTACCTATTGGAGATAAGTATGTTAGACATAGCTACTCAACAAATTGCAACTAAGAGTTACTGTTGTGAATGCAAGCAAGCGTAAGGCAGAAATGAACAGGTTTTGCAACATAAAATCACAAAAAATAAGTGTGTAAAATGTAGTACCACTCAAACTCCCAATAATACGGTGGATTGGATCTCCACAGGAAAGCATACGATTTAAGGATGCTATGACAGGAAGGCCAGCACCAACCTATAAAAGAAAATTTTACAAACATATGCCCGCTGACCCTTTCACGACAGAAAGACCTATATACTAAATAAGCGAAACACAGAACAAGCTGTTCCAGAAAACCAGTATGCAATTTGAATAGTTGCAGTACATTTATCTAATGAAAAGCAATTTTTATTACATAAAACTCACAGAAACATTAACATTTCTTAAGTAATGGTGAAAAGCAGGATCTAGAATTGACAGTCTGCTCTGGATGAAAGATATTTGAGTACCCATCAAAACCACTTTTAGTGAAGGCACAACTTGAGATTGCTGACTTACCCAAAAAAACTTGAGATTGCTGAAGAAACAACAGAAGTGGAAAGCCAATGAAAATTCAACTATTAATCTAGGAAAATGTATTCTTAACTCAATTGCTACTAGTTTCTAACCCAACTCCACATCAATGGTACAGCTATTAGAATGAACACATAAATCCTAATATCACTCAAGAAGTTTTATCACTTTTCAAATAAGAGAACAATTGAATTCTTCCGTTCAGCTCTCAGATAGAATTTCAGATTTGATACCCAAGTCGCAACACCCATTGGCTACAAGTGTAAAGCACTCCTAGCAACATCAAGAAAAAACAAACATACAGTGCACTCATGCCGAATACGCCGTGGTTGTGAGACCAACTTGTCATAATCTTCCTGCAAACCAAAAAAAATAAGTTAGTTGAATAACAGTTCTTGTGTCCTCTGGTCCTTGAATGGCAAATGAAGACATGGAAAAGACAGAATTTTGACAAAAACTCTCAGGAGCCTGCAACATAAACATATAGTTATTGGAAGGAGGGCAATAACAACTTTGCTTCCCACATCACAGCTAGAAGCTTAGATTTGCAGCTACCAATGGAAGTAGAAAAGGAACTTGTAAAAGAAATAGTTACCATTGAAGAGGTCAGAGGCTTCTTATTAGCTAGCACTACACAACAACCCATATCTACTACCCGACTTAGCACTCCAATGGTCTCAGAACTAGCAGAGCAATCAACAAATGCCAAACCTGTTGCAGTCCATATAAAACAGAGTCATAGTGGGCAAACCCGATGCTATGTAATACTGTGCATACATGGTTGATAAGGTTAGAAGACAGTGATGTAAAAGAAACATTGGAGCCCAGAAGAACAGCAAACCTGTTGATCTAACCAGAAGAGCAGCAATATCAGCAAGCTTTCTCATAGATTCTGGATTCGAGAATATTTGGCATTCGCCTTTACAAGGAACCAAAAAAGGACAATCCAGAAAGAAATATTAGCATGTTGAATAACTATTGACAGTTCAGCAAGCCATCTTTAGGTGTACATTTTCTTCTTTTCTCTTTTCTTTTTGTTTTATTCCAAAAGATAATACGGTAACTGATAGAACGAGGCAGCTCTGCCAAAGAATCCGACATCAGAGGAGACAACAAGTAATTCATTGGAAAAGGCCCATCTACGATGACCAAAAAATTGCACAAGATAGTGTATCATTGCCATCACTATAACAAGACATAGGGGAATTACCAACATTGCTAAGTGTCAGCAGAGAAGAGCCATTCAACTTGACCCGGCAAACTTCCATCAAAAAGGTATCATCTAACTCCATGGTGAACACATCCAAGGCAACAAGCAACGATTTACTGTCACATACTCCTACAACTCGCAGGCGCACTCCCTGTTGCATAATAAATCTACTCACGTAATTTCATGTTTTTGATGAATTCATACAAAACCCACCCCGAAAGCCACTAGTAAAACCAAATAAAATGTTAGTCTGAGTTTCATTTTCAACACACACAGACAAATATGTACCATTCACAACTAAATTTTCATTGAGAATGTTTCTGCATTTTTCCAACTTCTAGCAAACCCACAAATCTATTCATGACCCCAATGGAGCATGAAAGAAGAAATTGCCCAACAGCCATGCTTTGAATAATTTTCCCACATCTACCATTATCTGGGTCATATCATATGAACTACATATCTTGGAGCTCTATAAAATAAACCAAAGGACCACCACCCGTTGAATGACAGGTCAAAATAGAAAGGCCAGGCCATCAAATTATCCAATTTCCCAATCTATTTGATAATTAGCCACTTCGTGCATCACACAATAGCACTCATAACCCTTTCATACAATACTTACATTTTCCTATGAATACTGGTATTCATGAAATGATTAAAGACAATTCAATATGGGTATGACCTGCTTGGCGTGTAGTGATCTACAGGAAACAATGTGCTGAAGGAGTTGACGTCCGACCCCTCCACAACCCATAAGAAGCAGAGGTATACTCTTCATCGTTCGCTTCACGTCTCTTCACCCTCTCTCTTGCCTGCTGTTTCTACTGCAACTGTTTCTTTTTTACTTCTGTTTTTAGGGTTTTCGGAGCTTTGAGTGTTTTCGACAGGTTCAAACTATTTCACAGGTCGGGAGCTTTAAAATTTGAGTAAATTATACATATAAGCCTCATATTATTACTTCTCGTCAATTAAACGCGGAACTTTGTTTTTTGTGGCAATTGAATCCTTGTGTCTGTCTTTGTTAGATTATTCCATCCACGTGATCATATACACAAAACATAAAAAAAAAAAAAAAAAGTTCAAGATTTTAATTAACACAAGGACCATAATTTAAAAATTATATCTATAATTTACTTTAACTCATAATATCACGTGAATTATACATTTCGTCACTTCCATTAGAAAATCTAACAGAAATAGGCAAAAAGATTCAAAATTCAATAGTTCAATTGACATAAAAGAAATTTAATTATTTAATTAACACAAAAGTCCTAATTTGAGTGTTATATATATAATTTACTCTTAAAAATTTAAATTTGGCTGAAATGGTCACTCACTGTTGTGTTCATGTCCCATATAAGTTGTGTTTGGCAATTTATTGTCATGTTTAACTAGGTTAATTAATTTGATGAGTTAAAAGGGTTTGTCATTTAAAGCTAAGACTAAACTTAAGCTCACTGATTTCGTAACCATTTTCATGATGAGTTCATATGTTGAGTTCATAAGTTGTGTTTAGAAATGTTACAAATTCAACAAAAAAATTATATATGTTGCTTGAATATAAAAGTATCCGTAAAATATCATAATATTTAATTATTATGGATACGTAAGAGGTGTATCCGATACGTATTCTCGAGTATCCGACAAATATCGTATTCGATACGGGTACGCCGACCTCAACGAAGTATTCGTACTTCATAGACTTTTATCCTATTAAGTTTTTTGAGAGGTACCGGCCTCCCTAAACCCCTAAAATTTACACCCCCTTCCAATCATATCTTATCTAATTATCTCTTTAGCAAAATTCTTTCTGAATTTTGTCATGCACAACTGGTTGAAATTTATCATTTTAAGTCTCAAAATTAGTTTAAAATGAACCTTTGGTTGNTGAATTTTGTCATGCACAACTGGTTGAAATTTATCATTTTAAGTCTCAAAATTAGTTTAAAATGAACCTTTGGTTGTTATTTTTTGTCTCATTTATTTTTTAGAATTCATCATGTGGCTATGACGTGAGAGGTAATCAGAGGGCATTTTTGGCATATAACGATTTGTATCGTATCATAAAAATTAAAATTTTGTCTCGGTACATAATTTTGATTGATTTAAAAACAAAATGAAAAAAAAAATTATTTTTTGAGCATTCAGAAACATTGAGCGAAACACCTTGAAACATAAAATTTTAATATTCAATCGTTAATTTGTTTAGAAATTGAAGCTTTATGATCTTTTTGATGATCAAGACACATAAAAGGATTGATACAAACATAACTAGATATCCATAAGAGAATCATGCATGGTTTGTACAAATTTTAACATGACATGACTTACTTTTGTGGGTTATGCGAGAGTTTTGAAGTTTCAAGCATGCACTAACAAGGAATTACCCAATGGTTGGGTACTTGGCTACTCATTCACTCTGGTGCAATCCCCCTTCCCTTCCACTTGAATGTATTTGTAAAGGGTAATTCCTTATGCACTAAAACTTGCACAAAATTAATTGTAACCGTTGGATCAATGATGAGATTTACTGACCCAATGGTTGCAAGTAATTTAATGTAAGTTTTGGTGTACATAATATTACTAATTTGTACATGCATTTGTATACTTCTTGCCAAACAAGTTTCAATCATTTGGATTCATGTTCACAGTATCTTTCATCTTAAAATGAATGCCTCACCATATTTGTTATTGTATGGAGTTTTGTTTCCTTCCAAAGTGCAATGAGCCATTAATTTTACATAGAGCAATGATATGTGCACAAAAAATGTGCACCAAAATACTTACTAAACGTTGGATCAGTAGGTCTCATCATTGATCAAACAACTGCAGTTGATTTGGTACATGAAGAATTACCTTTTTACATATAGTTATATTAATTTTGTTAAATCAAAAGGGGGTATGTTGTGGCTAGGGATGTCAAAATTTGAGACGACACGATTAACTGATACGAATTAAGCGGGTTTTGGTGAGATTTTAACAGGTTTGAGTGATAAACGAGTTGACATGCCAAACAAATTTAATAAACGGATTGTGTTCAAGTGAGACATGTCAAACCGTTTATCACATGTTCATCCGTTTAAATAAAATTAATATAATAATAAATTAATAATTATTTAAAAAAATTAGCACGAAAAAAAGAAGTAAAAAAATCAATAAAAAAAAAAATAAAGTAGTAGTTCAAAGACAAAAGAGAGGAGTTGAAGAGCACTTCAAAGACAAAGGCAAATCAATGCCTTTTGTTTTTGTCCCACATTGGAAAATGAGGGAAGATAGGGAGGGTTGTGTTGCCTATAAAAAGCAATGGTCTCTTGCTTATTTTTTTTAAACCTTCAAGTCTTATTTTTATGAGATATGACTAAAAATTTCTCTTTTTTGAGGTAAGTGCAATTGTTAAAAAAAAAATGGAGTATTAAAATTTGTTAATATAATTTTTTTAAAATTAAATGAGTCGTGTTGTGTTCGTGTTAAAATTTTTTATCTATTTATTAAACATGTCGTGTACAAGTTTATATATTTTTTATTCGTCACCTGTTTAACCCGACATCTAAATGTTTAACCCGATACGTTTAACACTCCTAGTTGTGGCTGAATTTTGAAATTATGTGGCTAATAGACTTACATCTTCGAGGTTTGGAGGATAATAAGGGGGTGATATAATCCTATTAGCAAAAACTCATGTTTGAAAACACGATACAACATAAAAAATGAGTGTTTAAAAAATCGATCTCACTATATCAAGTAACAATTTCTTTCATTCCCTTTCTTCAATTACATAATTTAAAATTAATTTCTACACATAATTTTTTGAAACAAAAATTGACAAATTTTTCTCAAAATACATGACCTAAAAAAAATATCAACTTGTGTATATTATAGTATATGGACAATGTTCAAAATAAAAATTATATAAATTAATCAAAAAATAAATAATTTAACTTGTGATAGAATTGAACAAAAAAAATAAATTGGGATAAAATTCAAATGCCTAACTCCTTTTTTATAAGTCAGGATAGAATTGATTCCAATACAATCAATAACATTGTCAATTTATTCTAGATCTTCCCTTTCTAGGGTTCCTATTCTTTTTCCTCCCATTGATAACTGAATCCTTCCCCAACGAGTTATTATCAAAAAGTAGTAGTGCTGCTCTAACTTCATAGTAGTTGATGCTCTAAGTTCTTCGTAGTGAATGGTCTAACTGCATCCTTACCCCGCAAGTTATTATCAAAAAGTAGTAGTGCTGCTCTAACTTCATCGTAGTGAATGGTCTCTTTGTTATAGAGTAATGGTGCGACTAAATAGTCATACGAGTTGGGAAGCGAGGCCAACAAAATCAAGGCTTTAAATTCATCTTCCAATTGTACTTCTATGTTTAGTAGTTCCGAGTCTATTCTACTAAACTCTTCAACGTGATCTTGAATTGACGTACCTTCTTTCATACGAAGTGAGTAAAGTTGCATTTGTAGGTACACTCGAGATGTATTACATCTTGTCTTATAAAGGCTTTCTAGCTTTGACCAAATCATCGTTGCAGACTCTTCGTGCATTACACTGTACGTAACCTCTTTTGTCAAACACAACAAAATGGTGTTACGTGCTTGGAGATCAAAATCCTCCCAATCATCATCGGACATATCTGAAGGTTTGCCGATCAATGCTTTCAATAATCCGCGTTGAATTAGAATATCCTTCACTTGAACTTGCCACACCCTAAAATTGTTCTTCCCATCGTATTTCTCCACCTCAAACTTGAAATTCATCACATCTGCAAAGAGTGTTGCCATAAAGACCTCAAAACTCTCTCTCTCTCTCGGAATGATGCACTATATGATCCTTCTCAATCATGGAGGAGTCATATATATTTATAAATACAGTGGGGGAACTCATAAGGCCCACAAAATGATGGTTGTCTTCCACCAAAGCCATTGCAGAAAAAGTTGGGGCTTCAATGTTAATGGATATGAAGGAATCTTTGTGGGCCAGAGCCCATCTTTTCCACAACCGTAAATTCCGGTGCCTAATTTGAGCCACCAACTTTGACGCTGCAACATGGGACGGTGATCAAGGGGGCCACAGCTCTACTCCTCGGGGATAACGCTGTGTTGATCAAAATTTTTTATTAATTTTTTTATTCTAAATAATTAAATTAAATCT